TATATATATATATATATATATATATATATAGTTCTTGATTTTTTTCTTAAAATTTTAATGTGTCATCCATTCGAAAAATAGATTTAAGCCACTCAAGGCTCAGCCCATAGATTAGTTGTTGAATGTTTACTATTTTTTCTTATCGTTACTTGCACTTTTGCCCTATTAATTTATTTATGCATATAAATGAAAATTCTATCAATTTGGCTAAAGATGATTCATGTTTTGAGAAAAATGTTTGTGGAATTATTTGAATTAAAAAAAAAAAAATTGTCCACATGTGAGTAGAACTAAAATTCAACTTTCGATTAGCAAGGTGAAATTGGAAGTCATGGGTTGAGAAAATAATGTTATAAAAATCAGGAACCGGCCTCAAATCCAGCCCGATCGTGCTATATTAACCGAAAAAAGAAAAACAGGTAAAATATCAATAAAACTAGCCTGTTCAACCGTGAAACTATAAACCGGCCCAAGTTTGAAGTTTCTCTTTTACAAACTTTTTGACTATTTTTATTGGTTTTCAACATTCTTCTCTCACCAACTTTTACAGTTTTTGTAATTTTTATGGGAGTGCGACCCCTAGGCCAGCTTTGTCATTGTCCTTTTAAAGACACACTTCTATGCACTAATTAAAGGTTGAACCTCAATCTTGAGGGTCCCTCACTGTCTCTATCCTGGAGCATCGTGAGAGAGATAAATCACAAGTTATGCCTTCAAGGGTACAGGGTGGAAGGTTGCTTATACACTTGTACTTACCCAAAAGTCAAATCCATATTTCAGGATTCGAACCCTTGACGCGACAGTATCAAGCAAAGTTGAATTTCTCCACCCTCCCCTTTTACCACTTAGAGATGTGCCCTAGAGCCACTTCTATCCACTAATTCATTTGCCATCTGATGTGGTATATGTTGCAACTAGATTTCCCAAATTTTCAAGTGCTGTGTCTTTTAAAGGCAAACACCCATGCTCTGTTTTATTTAGCAACCGATGTGGGTACAAAATTTAGCTTTTGGTCAAATTATTATATTACAAAGTTTAAATGGAATATTTACCCAAATGTCAAACAAGTAATTGGAATTATTTACAAAGTTTAAACGGCCTTCACAAAAACAATTTAAAAGCAAATTATTTGGTCAGATTTTTAGTTTTGAGATTTTAAAATTAAACATAGAATAATAAATCTAATTTAAAAACATATATTTATATTTCCTTCAAACTATTAACACGAAAATTAGAAAAACTATATTTTATAGTTTGTGTGTATTTATTTATATAATTTTGGTATCTAGTTGGACCCCAGTTGAACCTTTTGATCATTGACCTTTAATCTTTTCCAGGTCAATGCCTAGGCAGGTTTTCAAAATATTGTGAGGAAATTTTTATTGTGATTGTTGGAGTTCAAAATTGATGTTTAGATTGTTAATGGTAACAAGTATAGTCATAGCTATTGATCATTTAATATTTTCCTTTTATGATTTTTAGATTGTTATGGTAACAATTAGGCTATTTCCAAACCACATGAATTTGGCTTAAAATGCCATTTTGGTGTGAAATTTGGCCTCTAACTCAACATCAAATCGTGAAATCAAATTGGCGCAATGAACATTCATTTGGTGTAATGTATAGAGTTTACATTGTTTCTCATTTTGTCCTTCATTTTAATTCATTCTTATAGCATTTTTTATATCATTTTATTTCTTAATGAACAATTTTATATTGTATATAATTTATATTGTGATGTTCAGTCCATGTTTGAAACCCATTATTCAAAAATTCATTATTGAAAGATTGTAGCCTTTTTGAATTAACTTTTTAACATACTTTGAATCACTTCAATCGAATATCGAGAAAGAAAAATATTATTAAAATACTAAAAGTTGTCAAGAGGGAAAATTATACCTATGCAGTCGTAAAGGTTTGATTAGATGTGATAGAATCTATGCCTGTAGAACTCTTAGGACCAGCTAAGATTTCTTCTACGTGGCCTCTTCCATTTGTACCATGCGACCACATAATATTTTTTCGAGGCAAGATTTTGTTTCCTTTTCCAATTAAAACTCTACTTACAATCTTTTCGATATCGTTTAAATACCAAAGCCCGTCCAGAATGTAGGAAGACCTACCTAAACCTAAAACTTCATAGATTCAACATATTTTGAAGGTGGAGAACAAGGCTAGATCATTAACATCAAGGAAATTGTATAAGAATTTTGAAGATTATCCAACAAAAATCAAAATATCATTTGAGACAATGGATTTCTCTAACTTTTTTCATATTTTTTCGATGCTAGTGATGTCTTTTCATTATTTCGTGTATAAATTAATAATTAGAATGGTTGACTAGATTTTTCCTTTGTATTAGATAATGATAAACCCTATTATTTATTTGCTTTAATTCAAGACAATTAGTTTATTACTTCTTGATTTTTCTTGATTGGTTTTGCATTCCAATTAAACAATTTGATTGCTTGATCACCAATTAAATTGTAAGGTGCTAGTTATAGTGTAATAATATTCACAATAAATCTAGAACATGGCAAAATCAACACATGGGCAATAGATATTAGGAATGATATATATGGTATGTGTAATCATGTGTGATAAATCCAATGAATCAATGCATTTTTCATAAGAATTCAGACTAGAGATATAATCGGGTCGTGTTAAACATATGTTTAATATATCATGAAAAGAATATTGAATAGAAGTGAATTATCAATAGTCTTGATTGCATGAATTTACTAGATTACGAATTAAGAATTGAAATAAATGACAATAGGTGGATTCAAGATTCCAATATCACATTAGATTTGATCACCTTTTTTTAAGAGTAAACTTAGAATTTATTGAACTACAAATTAGATCTTATTTCTCGTGTGAACGATACTCTTAACAAACAAATCTTATTACTTGTACAACGATCCCATATAATTGCGGGATTTCTATGAGCATACACCACAACCCAAACTAAAAATGTATCGAGTTCAATTGCCACAAGTTATAAAAAAATTTAAAAAATCACTTCAATTTGTAAATAATGCAAAAAAAGTAAAAACTCGAATTGCAAAGAATGAACGCTTTGATTCATCAACTTCCACCAAAACCTAGCCTGAAATTTTTGAGTCAAAGAAAGTCTAAATTGCAAAGATTAATATGTACTAACCTCTGAAATGCAACAATTTGATGTGAAGCAAATGGCAAAAAGTAGGATTCAATCTTTATTTCTTAGGATTAGAGTCTAAAGTTTTAGAACATGATAAAGCTATTTGTACAAATAGCAAAAAAACAGCATTATTGAATGCATTATAAATTCAGTTGGTGTGCACAACTATTGTGTTTTGATAAGTCTATTATCTTTTATTTTTAAATCCACATCAACTTCTGTGACGCTGTCTGTACAATTCTTCTGTACAGGTAACAAGGATAGACAGATTACTTCCTAAAATATGATTTTTAGGTTTTGTATTTTTTAACTCAATCTATAAATTGTAAATAAATTAAATTATATAAACGTCGGTTCCATTTGAGTATCTATGATTCTCGATTTCAGTTCTTAATTTATTTATTTTTGGAATCGGACACGAACATAGGTTTGTTAGGGAGATTTGATTCCTATTAAAATATTGGGTCCTTATTTGGTGTAATAGGTTGGAGAAGAGTAAATAAGATGGGTTGGAGATGGCCTTATGTGCACACCATGAATACAAAGATGTAATGGAATCCTAAGGGTTATGATGACGATGATTCTTGCCCTAAATTGAAATCTTCCAAAATGTCGTTTATTCAAACACTTCTACTTCTTCAATTTGCAATAGCAACAAACTTAAGGAGAAGTGTTAGTGCCATTATAGTGCCGGTCTTCAAGTTAGGCTATGTATCTACTTTAATTTCAATACATATAGGATTTATTTGTACATCTACAATATCGTTTTTAAAAAAGAAGGCACTGTCACCAAGTAGCTTTGTTTGAATGTCTTGCTAAAGTCATGGCCATTTCCATTCTAGGGGCAAGCTAAAAGTGTCGTGGACATATTTGGTAGGTTGAAGTTACTCGTATTAGATATAATTAAATAACATAAATTAAAATTTTGTGTCTCTTGATTTAATGTAATCATAATTATATATCAAGAGCCTGTTTGAGAGTGATTTTGAGAATTAATTTTTTGACCGTTAAGAGAAAAGTGAGGTCCACCTGTAAGAGAAGAAGTCAAATAGATAGCTAAAATAGTGAAATAACGGTCAAAAAATTAATTTTTTAGGCCAAAAAATAATTCTCAAACAGGCTGCAAATATGTTCTAAAATATCGAGTATTGCTCAACAACCCTAGGCACACATGATTAATCAACAAAATGTATGTTGTAATGGAAGTACTTACATATTTTTTAAATTATATTGTATAATATAAAATAATCATGTTACATATATATTTTTGTTGATATTAAGTTTGACATTGTTATGAGGTAACAACATTTTACATATTAATTTTAAATTTGTAATAATGTTTTAAACAATTAATGGCACAGATTTTGACAATACATGGAATGTCAAATTACACCAAATACGTACAACTAGTTTAATCCAATATTAGAACCTAAATTTCAAATAAGAGATGCAATTGGTAAAAATGAAATAAATCAAATGATAGGTTAATTTATAAAACCTTAGAAAAAGACAAAGTGGCACACCATGTGATTTGGACGGAACATACGCCGTAGATAATGTCGTGCAATTTGTCTCTAATTCCTCTTTCATTATTTATCATTTGACTCGTATATCTTTTTACGTGTAACGCCAATTATTTGCTAACCGTTTGATTGTGATATATTCACCCCCATCCCAAAATTGACCAATCAAAAGCGCCCCCCCGCCCTCTCTCCCACTTAGGGAGTTGTGAACAATTTTTGAAGGAATCTTTATTCATCCATTCAAGAAAGGATAGTACTATCAATGCTGGTCGGTTAGAACACTAATTTATGTGAAATAACTTCAATTAAATGTAAAATTATGTTTTTCATTTAGTTATATCTGTGATTTAACGATATTCAGTGCCACCTAAATTGATATTTATAACACCAATGATACTCTTCTAGAAATGACAATAGACGAATTCGGACTTGAACACCATTCTCCTTTTCATCTTCGTCTGGTCGAGGATTTTCATCTCACACCCTTTTTGTAGATTTAAGCACGGACGAGGTGGAGAACACTTCACAAAATTTTAGCAAAATGTAAAATGAGTTCCATCTATGATCTACTTCAATGACAAGTCTTTTGCCCTACTTGCAGTGTTCATTATAACATTCTTCAAAAACTTATTTTCTATTTGATAATACTGTAATAAAGATTAGTGCTTTCCTTATTACGTTGATCTGATCAAATGAATTTTAACCCATCTTGCATAATTAATTAAAAATATGAAAAAGCAAAGGACATTAAAAAATACACTCACAATCAGGATTAATAACCCGAGCTAATTTATCGATTATTGCTTTTATTAACCATTTACCATGCTAATATTTCTTTGCAAAACTACAAACTCCTTTGTAATCTGGCTTTCCATCTAATATACATGTAACCATCCGTTTGAAGTGTTCCCAATAATTATTAGTTTGTTTCTTCGTTCTTCATTTATTGGCTGAGCCTACTGTATGCAATTCTTTTTCTTTTTCGTTGTCATCCAAATCAATTGGATTTGTACTTTCATGCATTTCTTTGTCATCCAAATCAATGGGAATTGGAATTCATTACGATCACCGAAATTGTGATCAAATGCCGAAGAAGAAGTGGGAGCTACACTTTGTGGTGTGTTGGAGTCGACACCAAACATATCTTGGAACTCATTATACTCCAAATAATTATTGCGATCTATTTGGAATTTGAATAAAATATGAAATTGGAATGAGAAGGTCGAAAGAATGCAGAGAATATATAGCATGTAGATTTAATTATACAATAAAAAATTAGAAGAAGTAGAATATAAATGAAGTGATGAATTAATTGTATAAAAATCGGATTAATATAATTATATGAGAAATTTAGAATGTATATTGTACCGAATCGTGGTGAAAAAAATAAATTGGAAAGATGAAGTATTCATAGTGAAAAAAATTCTGAAAAAAAAAAAAATTAAATAATGCCAACAGTCACATTTGCTGAAAAATATGTGATAAACAGTCACATTTCACACATTTTTCATGAACCTAGCTCATGTGAAGCAGCTCAGTCTCGTCAATTTTTATTTTTATTTTTATTTTTTTTACCTAAATTTGACCTTGGGTCGAGTTCTAGGGGCCCATGGTTCGAGCCCAAACAAACCAAGCAGTTGAGCTCCCAAGCTGCTCTACCCAATTGTCATTCCTATATGTATACTATATACACATAGCTTATCGAAATTCACTAAGCACTTGTGTAAAGGTTAAATGGTCCGTTCTTGTTTAATAACTTCTATAATTCATCTTAATAGAACAATACATTGACAATTAGTTTCACCTTGTACATTTAATACGATTAATAATATCTAACATGAATCATGTTTCGCACCAATCTAGGTGATAGCGAATTTCGCTTTAAATTGCCCAGTAATTTTGTAATGCATTTGCATCATTCAATAAAAATAATGTTATTTAGCATCACTAGTGTTACAACACCAGTTTAAGTGACGCTGGTTATTATTAAATGAAAGGTACAATTAAATAAATTATATAAGTTTACATTTAATTGGATTATCACGTAATGCCACATAAACGGGTGCTAGATAGCATTATTCATTCAACAATTACAGGTGGGACTACCATTGCCAACCACTTGTATTAAACATCCATCTATGCACGCCGCACATGAATATCACTAAATTTTACAAGCCTCTTTTTGGATTTTGAATCTAATTATAAATTCAAACATTAATTTTCAATAGTACAATCATAAATACTACTATTATTCTCGCGTTTTTTGAAATTTACCATCATTCATTTTTATAAGCCATTTATATATTTGCCTAACGGATACATGTAATGAAATGAGACCCACATAATTGAATTATAATCAATAACAGATCGTTTTTTACAAGAAAAATGCTAGATGAACATAATGGGCTGCATAATGGACACTTGGCGTCTCACAATTGGCGAGGTGCCTGTGGGCTCGAGGTGCGGCAGGCGCCTCGACCAATGTAGAGGTGTCGACGTGTCGCGTGTCCATTATATAGCCCCTGATGTAACTCATTATGTTCATGTAGCAAAATCCTTTTTACACCATACCCAACAGTGGCCGAGGCTCTGCGTGTTCATTATATAGCCCCCAATGTAGCCTATTACGTTCATGTAGCAAAATCATTTTTACAACATACCCAATAGGTAATTTACATCTTAACTAAGGGTATTATGGTAATTTAATTCCCTGCGCTGGAACCTGAACTTGGGCACCGACGAGCCACCTCACAAAGGCCCCACTACCAGCATTTATCCCGTGATTGGTGGTGCTCAAAGTGGCGATTCTCTCTCTAAGGGCGCACTCAATTCCCTACACCCTACTCCTCTCTCCCTCTTCAGCCCAACTTCTCTCTCTCTCTCTCTCTAAAATCTTGGGGAGAGACAGAAATCTAGCAAAAATTTTTGAATTAAGCTGAAAGAGTAGCAGCAGTATTACAGTTCATTTTAATGGCGTCGCCATTGTTTCTGTTTCTATGTTTTTCTTCACTTTTTTTCACTCCATCATATTCCCAGAGACAGTCATTTTTGAGCGTAAATTACTACCAAAAAACATGCCCAAGATTTGAGCAAATATTGCAAGACACCACCACCAACAAGCAGATCTCATCCCCCACCACTGCCGCTGCCACCCTCCGCCTCTTCTTCCATGACTGCTTTATCGGCGGCTGCGACGCCTCAGTACTTATCTCCTCCACCCCTTTCAACAAGGCTGAGCGAGATGCTGACATCAATCTCTCCCTCCCCGGCGACGGCTTCGATGTGGTAAGAAGACTAACACATACCTTGTCGTTTTCCTAAGTAAGTAAAGTCGAATAGAATTGCTCAATCGAGGTGAAATTTTATCCTTAACAGGTGGTCCGCGCCAAGACTGCCCTGGAACTAGCCTGCCCCGGCGTCGTATCTTGCGCCGATATCCTCGCCGTGGCGGCCCGAAACTTAGTTTTAATGATTGGCGGCCCTTATTACTCCGTAAAACTAGGCCGGAAGGATTCTTTAACATCGACAGCTTCTTCAATCGATGGCAATCTGCCGAAACCCACAATGCCGATGAATCAAATCTTTCAAATTTTCGAATCCAGGGGATTTTCCGTTCAAGAAATGGTGGCACTCTCTGGCGCGCACACAATCGGATTTTCCCATTGCAAAGAATTCAGCTCCATTTTGTACAACTATAGCATAACATCAGAATCCGCTCCATCTTACAATCCCAGATTTTCCCAAGCACTGAGAGACGCCTGTGCAAATTATCATCAAAACCCAACATTATCTGTGTTCAATGATGTGATGAGTCCAAACAAATTCGATAATATGTATTTCCAGAACTTGCCGAAAGGATTAGGGCTTCTTTCATCGGATCATGCTCTGAATTCGGATCAGAGAACGAAGGGTTATGTGGATCTTTATGCGAATAATCAAACGGCGTTTTTCGAAGCATTTGGTGTAGCAATGGAGAAGTTGAGTGTATATGGTGTCAAGAGTGAAGGGAAAGGGGAGATTAGGCGCAGATGTGATGCATTCAACAACTGAAAAAATTAAGGTTTTATTTTTGTGTCCAATTTTTGTTTTTATTTTTTTTATGGGGTTGGTTCTGATTTTCTTTTTGTTGTTGTGGGAATATGATTAATTATATGTGGAAATGATCTCTTAAATATCGGTATTTAACTTATGTTAAACATTGGTGATATGACACATTATTTAATTAGTGAACCATTAAATACATGAGATCTATTATTAACTTATTCACTAATTAAATTTTGTTTCATGTCATTGGTGCTTAATATAAGCTAAGCACATGTGCTTAGAAGATCATTTCTAAATTATATGTATACATCATTTACTTCATATTTATTTGCATTCTGATATTTCGATTTGTTTTAGAGTTACCAAGTATTTCGAGCATGTTTGGTCGAGTTTAAAAGGACATAAATTGCAATTCTTCTTAACATAGCTGTACTACATATTTTCTTGCATTCGAGCCACATTGATTCAAGAAATTCCTCTTTTAATAATCCTTTTTTCATGTAAAAATGATCAATTTAACCTTATTAATTTGTATGTGTAAAGTCGCATTTATGAGTTATGAGTAATGGAGTTGGTAGAGTTGATGTTCATCCACCTAGACTATAATATTGTCAAGCGCACACTCAATCATGATCAACAACATTTTGTCCATCGAGCTATGAACTCATCCAACTCATTGATCAATTCAATCATTGATTGATTGAAAATAAATTACAAAGTTATTACAAAACGATGACAATTGACTTATTTTTTAGAGTTTTGCTACATGTATAATGAGATTGACACTTCGGTGTATACTCCCCTCACACGAGGGGGTCGACAATGCCCTCGTGTATAAATAACATTTTTCTACCTTTTATGGCATTTCAATTCTAGTAGATACTATCCTTCTGCAAATTCTGTTATCTTATCAATATCCTAGCCCCTGTTTAAGCTCCATTAATTTTAAAAAAGTTTTATTTCTTTTTAAATTACTCATTTTGTTTTAAAAAAAAAAATGTTATTTCACCCATTTTCAACGGGAGCCCAGTCTATTCCAAGAATTGTGCGATCTTGCAACGATCAAAATCCTTTTTACTCAAATGATGTATTGCTTCTTAGGGCTATGCTACACCTGCACTTTTGGTGTAATGCGGGCTCTCTGTGAGGGAATGTAAATAATTATGTATATAAGTGTACAAGTAGATTAAGGTCCCGTTTGATTCTCTTTAAAACTCTTCAATTTAATTTATTATTTTTTTTTTTCTTATTTTTAACAATACAATTTTCAATAAAATAATATTACACTTAAATCGAAAACTTTTTAACCACATCATCTTCAAAAAAATATTATCCAATTTATTATAAATTCAAATAATGAAGGTCAAACGGGGCTAACTTTGTTTCTTATTTGTCCTTTTGTCCATAATTGTAAAGAAATAATGGACAAATCTCACATTATTTATCAGGCTTTTTCTCTGGATTTTGGGGTGTCGTTGTCAATCATTTCGGTTAACTTAGTGCCAACTAATATGCCAGTGGCGCATTATCAAATGCATGGTGCCTTATTACGCGTAGATTTTTTGAGAATTTATTAATAGAACCATATCCCAATAATTTGAAGTCAACATCTCGTAGTAGTATAGTGATGAGCATCATTGTCTATAAAATACAAAAGTTTGAGAGCGGGAAATTTTCCATTTTGATGAACCATAGTATAATACTTATAAATACTTTTGGAATAAGAACTTCTTTTAAAAATTAATTTTAAAATAAAAATTAACGTAATTTCTTTCAAAAAATCTTCTACAAGAGGCAAAAGATAAACCAAACTGGCCCTTAGTCTATTGAGAAAATTAATCTTATCAAATCCTCAACTCTCGGTGGACGGACCTCTGAGAGTTTTAATCTTCACATGATCATTACGTGATAGGGATTAGTGAATGTATTTAGATGTTGTCATATGATCATATCTTTGCTCACGATATAGTCCTACTGCTTGATTCATTGAGGATTTGATATTCAATAAAACTTTGAATGTGATAGGTTTTGAGCTTTTGTGAGGATTACTACGACAAATCATTTACAATTCTGCTACAATTACAATATCTTTGACAGTTTTGTTGATAATGTGTGACACGACACACATATTTATCAATAATCTTAACAACACTTGAAATAATCAGTGGTCTCTATTTTAACACATCACACAATGTCAAGAAAGATGTACATTTTTTATGTACAAATAGCTTAATCCAATCCTTAAACATTTGGGCAATATAAAGCACTTGCAATGGATGGACTTATGGATCTACTTAGTTCACTCGACCATGAATTTTTTGTCCCCGATTATCTTTGGTCGTTTGTTCAACTTAGTTTGCCAAACTTGATTCCTAATGCATGATTAGTCGAGGAGTTTGAAATTCATATTAAGCTATCTTCAAGATGAAAGATTGTTTGAGATAGCTTCCTGTCACGACTCGCTCGATCTTGGCACAGGAAGATCGAGAAATTTAAAATGTTGACAAGTTGGGGCTAACCGGAATATTCTAGACTCCCACAAGTGCATGAAGATTGCTAGAATATGGTGGGACATTCTAGAAAACTACAAGCCCCTCACTTGGTAGATTATTCTAGATCATCCTAGGTTAGTCCATAGATATTTTTAATGTAGATATTTGTATAGATAATTCTAGATGTGTAATCTAGACCGTCGGATAGAAAAGATCCTAGCCATCCATTTGAGGAGGCTACCACTATAAATAGCTTGGTAGGATTCATTTGAAGGATCAAGAGAGTGAAGTTGTAAAGAGCATTCCTTATTTCAATACAAAGCATTCTTTGTAAGCTCTTGTGTTCCTTCTTTGTCCCTTTCTTAAAGTGTTCTACTTAGTGCCTTTCTAAAACATCAACGCCAATCGGGAGGCTGACTTAGTGTAATAACCGCGGGGGCGGAAGTTGAAGACACTAAGGCCGCACGGTTCTTGAAGGAAATTAGCAAGTCCGTGACAGTTGGTATCAGAGCCAGGTTTGCTCACTTACTATCGTTGGCACGGCGGAAAAAGATGTTGTGGGATCCGGCATTTCGGAAGTAGAACATGACGAGCGGGGTCGAGAGGTCGAACCCCAAACCACGAGTAAGAAAACTCGACACACTCGAAGCAAGAGCCGACCACCAGCCCTTACCGGTGGATCTCTTGAGGAGGTATTTCTCAATATGGGGGAACGCATTGAAGTAGTGGAGAATTCACTCTCAACCCTTGAAGCTCACACCTTGGAACAACTTGACGATCTCAAGGAGGACCAAGGCGCTTTAAGGGAAGAATATACGAAGTTGGAGGTTAAGGTCATGGATGCTGTCAAAGCGATCCAAGACCAAGTGAACAAGCTTTGCGCGGATATGCAAAGTGGCATAGACGCTTGTAAGAAGGCGTCAACTAGTGCGGGTACTAGCACGATGCTAGCGGCTCCAAGGATCGACTATCCAAAGCCTAGGGAGTTCGATGGAAGGCGAGATGCAAAAGAGCTAGATGATTTCCTATGGCGATTGGAAATATATTTTGAGGGCGTGAACATTTTGGATGAAGCTACTAAGGTACGTACTTCGACTATGTATCTTACGGACACCGCGGCTCTATGGTGGCGACGTAAGCACGCCGACATAGAAAAGGGTGCTTGTAGGATAGATAGTTGGGACGATTTCAAGAAAGAATTGAAACGCCAATTTTATCCTGAAAATGTAGTATATGAGGCCCGGAAAAAGCTTAGGGAGTTGAAACATAAGGGCACTATTCGCGATTATGTCAAATAGTTTACTACCCTTGTGCTTCAAATCCCGAGCATGTCAGATGAAGATCTATTGTTTCACTTTACGACGGATTGCAAAATTGGGCGAAGCAAGAACTTCAACGTCGGGGAGTGAAGACAGTAGACGAGGCTATTGTGGTGGCCGAATCTTTAACCGAGTTCCAAAGGAGCACGGATTCATCGAAATCTTCTAAAAGCTTTAAGAGTAACTCGGCTAAAGGCGGGGGAGAGAAGAAAGATTACCACAAGTCATCATTCAAAGGTGGTAACACTTACAAACCTTCCCTCTCGCGAAAAAATTATGAGGAAAAGAAGAAGGCCTCGACGGGTTCTCAAAGTGGATGCTTCGTGTGCAAGGGGCCACACTTAATGCGTGATTGCCCTAAACTTGGCACATTGGCGGCTATGGCGGAGGAACGAGATTCATCCTCTTGCCAAGAGCGAAGGGCGGAACATTTTAGTTCATTGCAACTTCTTAACGCTCTCAATGCTAAGGTCGTTCCGGCTTCCAATAATGAACGAGGATTAATGTATGTGGAAGCTCAAGTAAATAGTCGGCCCGCACTAGCAATGGTAGATACGGGAGCTACCAACAACTTCATTACTGAAGATGAGGCTAGAAGGTTGGGCCTCACAATCACTAAAAGTGGTGGTCTTATGAAGGCCGTGAATTCTCCATTCACGCCCCTTGGTGGCATAGTTCGAGGGGTGGAAATTCAATTAGGCACTTGGCATGGCCAAGTGAGATACGGGAGCTACCAACAACTTCATTACTGAAGATGAGGCTAGAAGGTTGGGCCTCACAATCACTAAAAGTGGTGGTCTTATGAAAGCCGTGAATTCTCCATCCACGCTCCTTGGTGGCATAGTTCGAGGGGTGGAAATTCAATTAGGCACTTGGCATGGCCAAGTGGATTTTTCGGTGGCTACAATGGATGATTTTCGCTTGGTTCTCGGGTTGGACTTCATGAGGAAGGTCAATGCTATTCCTATGCCTTCCTTTGGCTCGGTTTGCATCTTGGAGAGGGGTTCTCCATGCATGGTTCCTACGGTAGCTAGGACGAAAGCAAGAAGGCAGCTTTCGGCCATGCAACTAGCAAAAGGGCTAAAGAAAGGAGAGGCGACGTATTTGGCAGCATTAAAAATGGAGGACCAAGTTGAGGAAGTTGTGGGTGACGATAATGTGCCCGAAGTCATCAAGAATGTCCTTGAAGAAAATAAGGACGTGATGCCGCCGGAGTTACCCAAGAAATTACCACCTAGGAGGGAGGTGGATCATAAGATCGAGTTGGAACCGGGTGCCAAACCACCATCCATGGCACCCTATCGAATGGCACCGCCGGAGCTGGAAGAACTTCGAAAGCAATTGACGGAGTTACTTGACACAGGGAGGATACGACCTTCGAAGGTACCTTATGGCGCCCCGGTCTTGTTCCAAAAGAAGCATGATGAATCGTTACGCATGTGTGTAGATTACCGGGCGCTCAACAAGGTAACAGTTAAAAACAAGTATCCTATTCCTTTGATTGCTGATTTATTTGATAGATTTGGTAGTGCAAAATATTACACAAAGGTGGATCTACAAAAGGGATACTACCAAGTACGTATTGTAGAAGGGGATGAGCCTAAGACAGCCTGCATCACTCGATATGGCTCATTCGAATGGTTGGTAATGCCTTTTAGCTTAACCAACGCCCCGGCCACATTTTGCACATTGATGAATAGGATTTTCCAACCTTACTTGGACAAGTTCGTGGTGGTATACTTGGATGACATTGTCATCTATAGCGACAACTTGGAGGATCACGCAAAACATCTCCAAACGGTGTTCCAAGCATTGCGGGAGAATGAGCTATACATCAAAAAGGAAAAATGTTCCTTTGCCAAGGAGGAGGTGCACTTCCTTGGACATATCATTGGCCACGGGCGCTTGAAGATGGATGAGGCAAAAGTAATAGCAATCAAGGAGTGGGAAGCACCAACCAAGGTAACCGAACTTCGTTCCTTCCTTGGTCTAGTTAATTATTATCGGCGGTTCATCCAAGGCTACTCAGCGAGGGCAGCCCCACTAACGGACCTATTGAAAAAGAATAAGACATGGGATTGGTCCGAGAAATGTCAAACGGCCTTTGATGATTTGAAGGCGGCCGTGATGGAGGAACCGGTCTTGGCATTGCCGGATTTCACCAAGACCTTTGAAGTACAAACGGATGCCTCAGACTTTGCTATCGGGGGTGTTCTAATGCAAGAAAGGCATCCTATTGCTTTTGAAAGTCGCAAGCTCAACGACACTGAGCGTCGGTATACGGTGCAAGAAAAGGAGATGACGGCCATCGTTTATTGCCTACGAGTGTGGCGTCATTACTTGTTGGGCTCAAAATTCATTATCAAGACGGATAATGTCGCTACTAGCTATTTCCAATCACAAAAGAAGCTGACTCCCAAGCAAGCACGTTGGCAAGATTTCTTAGCGGAGTTTGACTATGTGATGGAATACAAGCCGGGGAAAGCGAATGTTGTAGCCGATGCGTTAAGCAGGAAGGCAGAGCTTGCAGCCATAAGCCAAGCCAAAGGGACGTTGCTTGATTTGATTCGGGAAGGCATGGATCATGATCCCTTAACTAAGGAGTTGGTAAAAGCTGCCCAAGAAGGAAAGACGCGACGATTTTGGGTCGAGGACGGCTTACTTTACACTACGGGGCAGCGTATCTATATTCCTAAGTGGAACAATTTGCGGCGAGATATCATCAAGGAGTGCCATGACACAAAGTGGGCTGGTCATCCAGGGCAGAAATGCACATTGGCATTACTTGAACGAGCTTACTATTGGCCGCAAATGAAAGACATGGTGGAGCTCTATGTGAAGACTTGTCTTGTGTGCCAACAAGACAAGGTGGAAACAAGGTCACCAGCAGGCTTGTTGGAGCCTCTACCAGTCCCGGAGCGTCCATGGGACTCTATCACCATGGACTTCATTAGTGCCCTGCCTAAATCCGAAGGGTTCGGGTCAATAATGGTGGTGGTTGATCGATTCTCCAAGTATGGCACCTTCATTCCTGTCACCAAGGATTGCACCGCGGAGGAAGCCGCAAGGCTATTCTTCAAGAATGTTGTGAAGTATTGGGGGTTACCGCGGAGCATAATAAGTGATCGTGATCCCCGATTCACGGGTCGGCTATGGACGGAGTTGTTCAAACTCCTAGGCTCGGACCTACACTTCTCTACAAGCTTTCACCCTCAGACGGATGGACAAACAGAAAGGGTGAATGCTCTGTTAGAGTGCTATCTCCGGCACTTTGTGAGTGCCAATCAGAAAGATTGGGCCAAGCTCCTGGATATTGCACAATTTTCCTATAATTTACAAAGGAGTGAAGCCACGGGGCGAAGTCCATTCGAGTTAGTGATAGGACAACAACCACTAACACCACACACTTTGTCCACTTCTATTGATGAAGGGAAAAGCCCCGGAGCATACAAAATGGCTAAGTCATGGGAAGAGCATGCCGACTTAGCACGATCTTGTCTAAACAAAGCACGGAGGCGTATGAAGAAGTGGGCCGATAAGAAGAGACGGCCTTTGGAATTTAAAGTTGGCGACCAAGTCCTTGTGAAAATATTACCTCAACAATTCAAGGCATACCGAAGTGTGCACAAAGGCTTAGTACGGAGATACGAAGGGCCATTCCCGGTGATAGCTAAGGTTGGCAAGGTATCTTATCTTCTTGTCTAAACAAAGCACGGAGGCGTATGAAGAAGTGGGCCGATAAGAAGAGACGGCCTTTGGAATTTAAAGTTGGCGACCAATTCCTTGTGAAAATATTACCTCAACAATTCAAAGCGTACCGAAGTGTGCACAAAGGCTTGGTACGGAGATATGAAGGGTCGTTCCCGGTAATAGCTAAGGTTGGCAAGGTATCCTATCGCCTTGACCTACCTAGCTCTTTAAAGATTCATCCTGTCTTCCATGTGAGCATGTTGAAGCCATATCATGAAGACATGGAAGACCCTAGCCGAGGGGAGTCACAACGGGCACCTCCGATTGTGACTAAGTCATTTGACAAGGAGGTTGATGAGGTCCTAGCAGATCGCATTGTGCGAAGGCGTGGAGTGCCTCCTTGCCAACAATTTTTGATAAAGTGGAAGGGATTGCCCGAGTCCGAAGCAACGTGGGAAAGTCAAGAAGACTTGTGGCAGTTCGAAGATAAACTAAAGCATTACGCGGCGACGAGGGCGTCGCCCAAATAGGCAGGGGAGGATGTCACGACTCGCTCGATCTTGGCACAGGAAGATCGAGAAATTTAAAATGTTGACAAGTTGGGGCTAACCGGAATATTCTAGACTCCCACAAGTGCATGAAGATTGCTAGAATATGGTGGGACATTCTAGAAAACTACAAGCCCCTCACTTGGTAGATTATTCTAGATCATCCTAGGTTAGTCCATAGATATTTTTAATGTAGATATTTGTATAGATAATTCTAGATGTGTAATCTAGACCGTCGGATAGAAAAGATCCTAGCCATCCATTTGGGGAGGCTACCACTATAAATAGCTTGGTAGGATTCATTTGAAGGATCAAGAGAGTGAAGTTGTAAAGAGCATTCCTTATTTCAATACAAAGCATTCTTTGTAAGCTCTTGTGTTCCTTCTTTGTCCCTTTCTTAAAGTGTTCTACTTAGTGCCTTTCTAAAACATCAACGCCAATCGGGAGGCTGACTTAGTGTAATAACCGCGGGGGCGGAAGTTGAAGACACTAAGGCCGCACGGTTCTTGAAGGAAATTAGCAAGTCCGTGACATTCCGCTTATGCTTTTTGCTGAAATCATCTTGACTTCGTGAATTTCAAAATCTCTTTAATCAGATAAAATATTTTTAATAGTTTTATAAGTAACTTTTGACTTTTAAGGTGGCCGGTTCTGATTAATACAATCATTGAGGCATGTGCACAACCATTGACAAGAAAAGTTGGCCCTCGGTTTCTGAATCAAAACCGATTGGGATGTATCCATCCCTTCCCAGGTTCGGTAGCTTGCATGTGATCGGGTTGAACGATGCGAAATGAATATATTTTACTGATTTCTAGATTAAACAATACAACAAATTTATATAATTTACTACCTGTTTGATGATCATTATTTTGTAAAGATGATATTTTAGATAGTGAATTTTTAAAAAATGTGTTGTTCAAAAGTAAGAAAAAATTTTGAGTTTACGTTAAAAATATTTTATTTATTTCATAAATGTGTAATTGAAAATGTGTATGAGAAATAAATTGTTTTGATTTTAAAAAAGCCAAACAAAGGCTAATAATTAAATTTGCATAAATAAGGGGAAAAAAGTTCATATAATTATGTTAAGAAAATAATTGTTTGAGCCCCATGTTTATCAAAAAAAAAAAAAACAATTTTTGAACCGTGTATTTTTGGAAGATGTGTGGTTAAAAATTAAGGAAATTTTTTGAAGAATGTATGGTTGAAATGTGGTTAAAATACTATTCGAAATTCATTTTTTTTGATAAAAATGGAGTTCAAACAAGGGCAAAATATCTTTTAAATACCATAAATTATAATATCTTTTTCACTACTCGTCTACTAACTATACTGGACATCGAGAGCACCAAGAAAAGGTAAGATTAGGATTTCATAGATCTAAACTCGTAGTTCAAAGTGTCTACCAGAAGCAATGTTATCAAAATTAGCCCAACCCAATCGGTTGAACCGATAAAATCGGGAGCCGACCCAAAACCTAGCCAATCATGTCCTGTTAATTATTTGTGACAAAATTGCAATCGGCTAGTTTAACCGTAAACCGGTGAACTGATCGCGATTTTGTGGTTTTCACAATTTATTTATTTATTATTATTATTATTATTTAGTTTAGAAAATTTCAACTTAGTGAATGAGCCTCATAAACAACAATTCAAAGGTCCATAGAGAAATATTGGATGACATGCTCATTTTATAAATGCATCACTCTCAAATGGTTTTATAAACTTACAATGTGGGATAATGCATTTTATAGATGCCCTTCTCTCCATTGGTTTCATAAACTTCAAATGTGAGATAGTGGCATATCAAAAATGTTAACAAATTATTGAATAGTGAATCTGGTTAACAAATATGAGTTTTTTTTTTATCCCGAGTGAACCTTTTGATTTTTGACCCTTCACCTTTTTCGAGTCAATAATCGGGTCGATTTTCAAAACATTAATCAGAAGTAGCAACTCATGAATAATGAAACTTCAAATGTGGGATAGTGGCATATCAAAAATATTAACAAATTATAGAATAGTGAATCTAGTTAACAAATATGAATTTTTTTTTTTAAATTATTGTTTTCATTTTATTTTATTATTTTTGTATGTATTTATTGCAGCCGGTTCGATCTTGGCTTGATCCCGATTGAACCTTTTGATTTTTGACCCTTCACCTTTTTCGAGTCGATGATCGGGTTGGTTTTCAAAACATTAAATCAGAAGTAGCAATTCATAAATAATGTGGTGGAGACATTAATGAACTTCGGGACGGACCCACATGGGGTGATGTGGGATCAGTTGACCCCACAAAAATTTCATATTTTTATTATTATTATTATTATTTTATTTTTTTTGTGGTTACAAACATCGTCCCAACTCCCAAGCCCAATTAAACATAAACTGAACTTGTTTGTCTCTGTTGTCCATATTTAAGTGCCAACACCATTTGCACACAAGTGACAAGCCCATTTAATAACCTTTTAACTCCAAATACATTCATGTGGCCTCCATGTGATTGAATGCCCTAAATTATAAATCCTACGCTGACCTAATGCGGCAGAGAAATCGCCAATCGTATATGCCTATATGGTGATTCATATTTCCAAATTTTACTCTTTTTGTGCAAATTTTGAGATATTTCTTCCATCTAGGTAACAAATTAACACCCTACTTGTTTGATTTTACATGTTTTTATTCTAAAATTCATTTGCATAATTGAATTCGAGATTTGAGAAATATTTTAGTTGACAAATTAACACCCTAATTGTACATTTTAGTGACAGGTGATTGTCAAATTGCCTGATTGTGGAGATATAAGTTGCTTGATCAAAAGAAATTATTTTCAATTTCAAGTTTAGACATCATTCCCAATTTCAAGTAAGTAATGGCTTTCTCTAACTTGATGAAATGGAATTGTTCATGAAATTAATTGTTGTGTAATATGATTTACGAATTTCATGTTGTCCTTTGATGAAAAATGAAAAATGATATTTATTTATTTATGTATTGAATTTGATTTTGTTACAGTCATGGAGAAATATTTCAAACGGAAATCCGTATTTCAAGTGGAGATGAAAATGTAGTTGAGGTGAGTGTTCAAGATAAAATAGATAGCCAAGAAGAGACAAATGCTAGGACTAAAAAAGATGTTCAAGACAAAATTGATTTAGCACAATTTCCTTCATATCCCGGATTAAAAATTCCAATTGTGAATTATAATGTTAATATTCGGGATGAAATTCGTAGAGCATATGTACAAAGGGGTCCATGTCAACCTCGAAATCATATGTATCCACAAAAAGAATTTGGAAATTCATCCTTTAAATCTTCTTGGTTTAATGAGTTCCCTGATTGGTTGGAATATAGTATAGAAAAAGATACTCTATTTTGTTTTTATTGTTATCTTTTCAAACCAAATAGTGAAGAACATGGTGGTGGCAATGCTTTTGTTGGTGGAGGGTTCTCAAATTGGAAAAAGAAAGAACGGCTTCAAACTCATGTTGGAAAAAGTGGTAGTGCACACAATCGAGCGCGGATTAAGTATGAGACTTTTGTGAATCAAAAACAAAATATTGATTGTGTCCTCTTTAAAAAGTCGAAAAGAACAAAAGAGGAGTACCGAATTCGTTTGAATGGGTCAATTGATTGTGTTCGATTTCTTCTATGGCAAGGGCTTTCATTTCGTAGAAATGATGAATCTGAAGATTCAAAAAATCAAGGGAATTTTCTTGAACTATTGAAGTGGTTATGTGATCATAATAATGAGATTAATGCTATTTTCTTGAACTATTGCATTTGAAACACTTTCTGTTATTATGAAAGATATTGGTGATGGGTTGTTTTCTATTCTTGTTGATGAATCTTGTGATGTTTCCGTGAAGGAGCAAACGTCAATTGTTTTACGTTATGTGAATAAGAAAGGACAAGTAATGAAACGTTTTATCGGTGTTGAACATGTGTCTAGCACTACAGCTCTCTCACTTAAGGATGCCATTGATCACATATTCTCTAGATTTAATTTAAGTATATCTAGTTTAAGAGGTTAAGGCTATGATGGGGCAAGTAATATGTGAGGTGAGTATAATGGTCTTAAAGCACTTATTTTGAAAAAGAATCCAAGTGCTTTCTATATTCATTGTTTTGTTCATCAGCTGCAACTAGCTCTTGTGTAGCTGTGGCAAACAAACATGCAGAGATTGAAATGTTCTTTACGTTACTGAGTAACGTGGTGAATGTTGTTGGAGGATCAACTAAGCGGTTTGATCTTCTTCAAGAGAAGGAGAGGCTTGAAGTTGTTGAATTGTTGAATCTTGGTGAAATTTCAAGTGGAAAGGGACTTAATTAAGAAACTAATCTTCAGCGACCCGGTGATACTCATTGGGGCTCTCACTATAGTTCTTTACTTAACTTAATTTTCATGTTTTCTGCTACAGTTGATGTCATTGAGATGATTGCCACTGATGAAACTAGTTGTGGACAAAGAGGTGAAGCTCGTCTTTTGTTAAGATCTATGTTGACATTTGATTTTGTATTCAGTCTGCATCTCATGAAAAACGTATTGGGCATTTCAGATGAATTGTCAAAATCATTACAAAGAAGCGATCAAGACATTGTTAATGTTATGAAATTGGTGAAAATATATATAAAAAAAAAAAAAACGACTCCAAACAACGAGAAGCAATGAATGGGACTCATTTTTACGATCAGTTTCTTGTTTTTGTGAAAGGTACAACATTGATGTTCCGAACATGGATGATATGTTTATACCTCTAGGTCGCTCACAGCGTAACACTCAAGGAATAACAAATCTACATCATTTTCGTGTGGATTTCTTCTATGCTATCATCAATCTGCAAATTCAAGAGTTGAATGATCGTTTCTCCGAGGCAAATAGCGACTTACTCCTTTGTATTGCATGCTTATGTCCAGAAAATTCATTTTCTGCTTTCGACAAGGATAAGTTAATTCAATTGTGTGAGTATTATCCTAATGATTTTAAGCCAGTAGAGATCTTAACACTTGAAGAGCAACTCCAGATATATATTATTGATATGCGCACTAACAAACATTTTGAAGGGTTACGAAACCTTAATGATCTTGTGGAAAAGTTGGTATTGACGAAAAAAATGTGGTGTACCCATTAGTTTACAGGCTTGTAACATTGGCGTTACTTCTTCCAATTGCTACTGCTACGGTAGAGAGAGTACTTTCTACAATAAAGATTGTCAAGAATCGACTGCGGAATCGGATGGGAGATCAATGATTAAGTGATAGTTTAGTTGCATATATTGAGAACGATGTATTCGCCAATATTAATAATGATGTAATTATACGACGTTTTCAGAGTATGAAAATGTGTGGACTACAGTTGTAGTAGTGATTAATGTCTAATGATATGTTGTTTTCAATAATGATGTAATTATACGATATTTTCAGAGTATGAAAACGCGTAGACTACAGTTGTAGTAGTGATTAATGTCTAATGATATGTTATTTTCAAAAAAAAAAAAAAAATTATTTCAATTTTTGACCCTACAATATCAAAACTCTGGCTCCGTCCTTGATGAACTTGGTAATTGTATGTCAAGTTGAGCACAATATTATCACGCACCCATATTGTAGGCATCGTTAGTGTTGTTGTAGAGATGTAAAAATAAGCAATTATGCTACCTGTGCAACTTGTTTGACATTATTTTTGACACTGTACCATGTGTCGAAATATGATTGAACAGTGTTTTTTTTTTTTAAACGCACATTCCAAGGGGTAAACCATGGGATGTATGCTTAGCATAGTTCAAAAACAAGACATGTCATCTTTAAAATCGAGTGGGTAGTGTCAAGTAGAGCTGTAAATAGATCGGATACCTAATTTGCCCATATTATATTTGATTGTTAAATTCATAAAGGATTTGTTATATTATCGGATATCCGATCCAATAATTTGGTCAGAAATATTTTACATATATTTTTTTTAATTGAAAAGAAGGGATTCTCAACCTCAATACAAAATTTATTACAATATATGTAATTTTATATTGAAATTTGATAGATTTAACATTATTCATTAAAAAGTCAAAGTTTCATACAAGTTTCAAAATGAGAAAAATTATGTATAATAAATGATGTAGTAATATATAAAACATATTATATTATTATAACAAATCGAATCAAATTGACCTATATTCATATTTGCTCTATTTAGTTAACGTATTATCGAATTCAAATTTTGATCGAGTTATCGGACTACAATTCTAAATTCATATCTCATTAATTTTATCGAATTCAGATCAAATTCGGATCAAAATTCAATTCATTAACAGTCTTAGTGTCGGGTCTAAGTTCTAGAAAAATCAAACAAAATGGAAAATGAAACTCGTCGGAAGGACTAACTCGAAAAACCTGAGAGACAATTTGGAGACGATAGGATGTCAAATGACAGATAAATTGGGCCAGCAAAAGTCTGTTCAGGCCTGGTGTGGCAGAATCGTGTTCGTTACTTTAGGAAAAAAAATGACATTTTTCATGCTACTCTGTCTCGGATCATACTAGCTCTCTCTATACAATTCAATTTACACTTTCGTCGACTCAATATTGTGCATATCGTCCCTTGACGATAAAACTCCATTGCACTTTTTATCACTCAATTCAAGTAATTGAGACCAAACATTCCTACTAATTGTCTTTACTGTGAAAAATGTCCTTACATTTGACCCTCAAATTAATAATTTCATGTGCAAATCGCTCTCGTCATCTCATCTGATCCATTTGTTCTGTCAAATGATCTATGTACAGTCCATTCGTATAATTTGATCAAGACACTAATTGACCATCATTTTTTCCCAGAAAATTCAAGATTTGACATGTTGAAACAAAATTCGAGATTTGCAACTCATTGCAAATATCATTTTTGGTGATATCGAATTTTTCAATAAGGCCTTGTTTGATTGGTTCGAATTCCATGAAAAATTGAATTCGAATTCCACATTTTTTCAATTTTGTGTGTTTGACATGTTTTATTTTTCATAGAATTGTATTTTCTTGCTTGTATTGGGAATTGGTATTTTCTCGATTTTCAAGGAATTCCTTGAACTATCGTTTTTTTTTTTTTTTTTTTTTGGGTTGGCAAAGTTAATAAATTTTAAGAATTATAGTAAAAAAATATTTTCCTTTAATTGACAATTCTTATGTAAAAAATAAAACCAAATGAATACTAAAAGATAAATAATTTTCTTGAATTTTTTATTTTTTGGCAATGGAAACAAATTTTATCCTCAATACCAATAAATTCTCTTACTTTAATTGATAATTTTCATGTAAAACAAAATCAAACGAACACCAAAAAATACTTTTTATTTCAACATTTTCCACATGAAAAATTATACGAATCAAACACAATAATTTACAATTCCCAAAAAAATAATTTCTTAGCAATTCAATTTCCTGAAATTCGTTTTCAATTCAATTCAATTCCATCTTTTCAATCAAACGAAACTTAAGTTAGAGTAAAAAAGCATTCCTGAAACATCGAAGTTTGACGAGCTGAAGCAAAATACGAAATTTGCAACTCTACACAAATCTCGAGTTTTGAATGACATTAATTTTTCAAAAAAGTTGAGTAAAAACCGTAAAAATATCTTAACACACAAAAACCAGAAATAAAACCCTTATAAAAAAAATTTCTTTATTCAAAAACCAAAAATAAAACCTTATACAAAAATCTTAATTATTCAAAAACCATTTATATACAATTTTTTTTTTCAAAATAAATATATATTCTTATTCATATGAAAAAAGATAAAGAAAAAAAGACATCAAATATATACAATCCGGCTAACAAAAACACTTTCCTACACAGGGTTAATTGGTTAAACCATACCAGACCGTGTTTAGGAAAAAAAATCAAAATCTTAATTTACCAAAACACCCTTAATAACACCAAAAATGACCACACGTGAAAAAAGGGAAAAAAAAAATATCTGCACAACTTATTACAACTCATTCCCACAAAAAGAGAAAAAAAAATAAAATAAATAAAATAAAAATGAAAATGAACACACCTCAAAACTCAGCACGAGTTAGATTCTGTGTGTTGACACTGTATCCTCCGAGTTAAGCAACTCTTCCCAATCAATTTCCTCTTCCTCCGAGTCCTTCGCCCTCAACACCTCAAGAATTCTCCTCACCTTCTCCCTCGCGCGCTCACTCCCCGTTGCCTCCATCTTTTTCAACACTTCCTCCGCCCCCGCCTCCTTCGCCAACCCTTTGAACCTCAATCCGCCATAGCTCAGCCCATACAACGTCGCCACGCAGCTCTCCCGAGTCGAATCGGATTCAAACTCGCCTTGGCTTAGCTTACTCACTAGACACTCCACCCCACCACTATCCAGCATTGCTGTCCTTCCTTCCACACTGGCAGCTAAGTTACATAAAGTTAAAAGGACCCGACTCGTCATATGACTCGATTTCACCATGCCCAATAAAATCTGGATCGCCCCGAGTTTGATCATTTTGACCCGATTGCTCTGCACTACAGAAAGATGATACAAAGCCAGAGCCGAGTCGTGGCGAGTCCGCTCCGAGTCGGATCGGAGGGCGTGGAGAAGAGGTGGCAACGCGCCCAAAACCCCAATGGCAGTTTTGTTCTGATCATCGAGGGATAAACTGAAGAGTGCACCGGCTGCGTGGTCTTGACCCTCAGGGAATCCTCCCCTCAGAACATCAATAACCGGTGGAACAATCCCAGACCGTAGGATCTTCACTTTGTTTTGTTTCTCCAGAGACAGATTCACCAACACTGCCACTGCATTCACTTGCAACGTTGAATATCTCGAGGTGATCAATGATTTGAGGGCTGAGAGTAATCTCGGAGAACAAAGATAGAGTCGGGTTTCCTCCTTGGTGCGAGTCAGTTTTCGAAGTGAAATTACAGCCTCTTTTTGTTCAGAAACCTCACAACTTCTCAGTTTCATAATGAATTCTTCATCTTCCAGTGAGTGAGAATTTAAGATTTCCATATCTGAGGAAGAGGATGATGAATAACAAGCGGGTCGAGTTTTCAGCGGCAAGGGAGTGTGGAACCCGTTTCTGGGCGTCACCGACTCTTCCGAACTTGTTACCGACAACTGACTTGGTGTCCGAGTCAACTCAGTGACGGCCTCCGCACTATTGTGGTGAATTAATGTACTGACGAGTTTTTCGGCTGAGTAAAAATCAATGGGTTTAGGTGGGTCGACGAGATGGGTCCGGCACCAATTGACGATGGTGGACTTAAGGGCGAGATTGGGTATGATGGTGGAGAAATTGGGGTTGGAACCATCAGTCAGTTTGGGTTTAAAGGAGAGTGAAACGCAAGCATGAACGCAATTCCGTTCAAAAGTGTGGCCGGAGGATACTATAACAGGATCCGCCATTAAAGCACCAGATATTGGACACAGAAACTCGTTTGGAATTGATGGGCATTGCTTTTTGAGGAGGAATAGTGCGGATGGTGACTTGTGAAAGTAGATTTTCCACCTCTGCTTCCCAGTTCCCATTTCTTCTTTCACAAATTATCAGTGATTATTGGGTTTGCCCATATGATTGAATTTATGGTAGATTAACTGACAAATGAAGATTTTGAGGAAAGGAGACCCCGTGGAATTAGGGATTTTGATCATGATTTTGACTGGGAGAATATCATGGTCGACGACGAGGACAAGGACGTTGTGACTATTTAACAGAAAAGATTTAGAGAAGACGATGACAAATAAGATGAAAATAGTATAAATTAACGAATAAATTAAGATTTTTGTGCCTTTGCTGAATTCTTATTGCTCTTTTTCTTTTTGGAATTATGGGAATTTTGGACAATTTCTTTATGATGCAAAAGGAACGTGAAAGAAACAAAAATATTCTTACAATCTAATAAAAATTTAAGCTTAGTTTGGTATTGCCGCGCTTCTACTAAAATTTTTGCTTCAACATTCATACATATTTTAAAATTTAGTGTTTGGTAAGAAAAATTGATTTATTTTAGTGCTTCTATCCAATTACTAAAATGGAATCCCTTATACTCGCAAGTTGCAATAATTAAGAGATTGTTCGGTTTAGATTTGAAGTCAATTTAATCAATTTTTTATCGTTATTTTATTATTTTAGTCGTCATTTTTAAATTATTCTCTCACAAGTAGAACTTACTTTATCTCTAACAGTCAAAAAATCAATTATCAAACAAGAACTCAATTTATTGATCTGAACAATCTTGTGCACATCATCCAAGTTAGCAACACGTGATTGATAGAAAGTCTGATTTTCATTTTAAACTGTCAAATCGGAGCATGATAGGTCACGGAGTGTACACAGAGTTGTATAATATGATGTACATGAAGCATTATTATACCACAAATTTATTTCTTTTACCATATTTTAATTGCACTTAAGGACCTCAACCTTTGCTCAATATAACACTTTATGTATTTTTAACAAATTTTCGTCGATCTTCTATTCAATTTTTGCCTCGAAGCTTTTTTGAGCTTGAAGGCTCAGCGGTTTTGATACGAGATCTATAAAGACTGGAGACCAAAGAAGACAATTAACTTAATTAATCTTTTATATACTTGGCAAAATAACATTTTCGTAAGTCGAAATCCCACAAACATGTGAATCAAAATTCTTAAGCTCAGCTTATAAGTCAAATAAGTTGAAAATTTTAACTTAATCTAACTTATAAGCGGAACTATGAATTTTTGAAAGACTCATAAAACATTGTAAAGCAACTTTTTTGTTCTTAAAAATAATAATATACTTTTATAAGAAAAAAAGTTGGTCAGACTTGAGGCCAAAAGTAGTTGGGGGAAAAAGGGCTCTGACTCTTTTGCCTTGCATGTATAATTATTGCTTTTTAGCGTAATAGCTAAGGTTCTTGCTGCAATGAGATATTTGTAGGCTGGATTTCACCCATTTTTTATAAATAATTTGTGTGTTTTCCTGCTTGTTTGGTAGAGATTTTGATAATTAATTTTTTGATCATTAGAAATAAAGTGAATTCTATTTGTAAGAGAAGAATTTAAAAATAACAGCTAAAATAGTAAAATTACGATAAAAAAATTGATTTTATTGGTCTAAAATATGTACCAAATAAGCTCTTACAAAGAAATCCTACATGTACCATCGCCTAACTTACAGAAATATTGGTGACAAGATTTAAGAACATTTTTGACAACAAATACAATTAATTCAGCTATTAAAATGTTGTCATGTCATCATCTGTAAAAATGTCTGTATAATTCATTTGTACAAACAGCTTTATCGTGCAATTTTGCTTGAAAAATTAAAAAAATGTAGTAAAAGTCGCAAATAAAAAACGGGAGGGGTAAATGTTTTTTCACAAGCGGGCTTTTGACAAGGCCCGTCCGAATTCAAAGTTCAAAAAAAAAAAAAACTCGTTACAGGATTGTATTTCATAATTCAATTTACGAGGTTAATATTTAAAATTTAAATTCAAAATTCAAATTTGAATTTCAAATTTGGAGGTAAAATTGATTTTTTTGGCTATAAATACGGGGTAAATTTTTAAGTTTCAAATCAATTTGTTTTAATCGATTTTAACTTGCAGTATTATATATTCAAGTTTCAACTCTAATTTTTTTGCTCTCAATCTCTTATTCAATTTCTTTCACTCTCATACCGTCATACTCTAATATTCTGTATTTTATACTTTTCTAGTTATAGATAGATTTTACTAGCAATGAGTTTAATCAGTTTAAGGATAGTTCAAATACTCCATCCAGTTACGACGATGCATCTCGAAATATTCCAATTGATTTGGAGAATATTGATGAGGAAGAAGTACTCGAGATTAAAAGATCGAAAAAAGAATCATCAGATTGTTGGCAACATATGACACGTAAAAAAGTTGACGTTCAAAATGGAGTGGATATTTGAAAAGTATGTTGCAATTACCGTGGCAAAGAATTTAGTTAGAAACCCAATTCAAACACAACACATTTGAATAGACATTTATTAAGGAGTTGCAAAGCGAAACCAGTCGATCTCGACTTGAAACAGGCCGAACTAGTGTTTGGCGGTTCTTGTTTTACTCTTTCCACCTTTGTATATTCACAAGAAAGATTTCGTGAAGGAATGACTGCATACGTGACTGCAGTAGAGATGTCGTTTGCGATGATAGACTCAGTACACTGAACCCGGCTCGTGTAGAAATATCTCCAACTCAAGTATTCTTCTTATTGTAGAAATACTCTTCGTTCAGATACTATAAAATTATATAACAAAAGAAAACAAGCTGCTATTGAAAGTCTAAAAACTTTTAATATTATTATATCATTTACATCTGATTTATGGATCGGTAGTAATAGAAAATGTTATATTGCTGCTACGGCTCGTTATATTGATCACCTATGATTTTTACATAAAATTAGAGTTATCTTTTAAAATCATGTATATGTTAGTGACATTTAGATAAAATTAGACAAGCAATAAATTTTATTATTGTGTCACCGACAAGAAAACAAGCATTTAACAGTTTGTGTGCAGAGTATGGCTTACAAGAGAAATCATTTGCTACTGATGTAATACATAAATGGAATTCTACATATCTTATGTTACATTCGTGTGAAAATTACGATAAAATGATTTCATTATATTATAATGGTAGACATACATATAGACCCGAGCATAATTTAGAAAATTGGGAATGGTCTCTTGCATTTCATGTGAAAAAATTTTTAAAATCTTTTTTCGATACTACAAATGAATGTAGTGGAGTTTATTACCCTACATCTTCACTTGTTTTACAATATTTTTTCAACATTTCATAAATACATGAATTTGCCATTTTTCTGGTTTAATTTGCTCTATGGAGTTAAAATTTCATAAATATTGGGAAGAATTGTCCTCTTTATTTATTTTAGTTTCAGTAATGGACCCTCGACTTAATTTGAATGATACAATAGCCACTGTAAAGGGGATTTCAAATTTCATGAATGTGAAATTATCACATGTGAATATAGAAATTACGTTATCTGAAATGTATAATTATTATGCTGATAAAGAATGACAGTGTAGTTCTACTTCCCAAAGTTCTTTTTCAAGAAATATTTCAACAAATTCAGATAATTTATCAAATTTTTTGGAAGGCAGTACAAGTGTTTTCTCGTTTAGTTTTAGTTCATCAATGTCTAGAGCGACAGATGTCGATGATATAAATTTTGAAATTCCCTCCAAGTTAGCTGGGTATATGTGCGTGGACGTTCACAGTGTGTTACCTGAAAAAGAATTACAGGAATTTAGTCTTCTAAATTGGTGGAGGTGTAATGAAAGACATTATCCAATTGTATTAAAAATTGCACGTGATCTACTAACACTTCCGGTGTCTATGGTAGTATCGGATGCTGCATTCAGTTTAGGTGGTAGAATTTTATCAAACTAACGTTCAAGACTAAACGAATATATATTGGATGCTTTAATATACTTGAAGGATTGAGAATGTGCAGAATTACGTGTTGAAGAACATGTTGACAATATATTGGCCGAAGAGTTGCAGCAAATCCAAATATAGAATGTTGTAAGTTTTTAAAATAATTTATTTCAAAACAAAATGTAATTTTTAAATTTATTTGTTTCAAGAAAAATTGTATATGAAATATTTTATTCATATACAATTTTAACTCCGCCTACGTCATGTAGCCGGTCCCAAGCCCAAAAAAAGGATGAGAGTTGTAAGTTGTAATTTTTATTCAATTTATAATGCAATTTTATAAGTTGTAATTTTTATTTGATTTGTAACTCGTATAAATTATGCAATTTTTAAATTTTTTTTAAAGAAAACATTAGATTTATAATCTTGTTATATAATAATAAAAAAAAATCGAGCCAACCTGACTCGGGCTCGGCTCGGCTCAACAAAGCTCGAGCCGAGCCTTGTTTTTCGACCGAGCTTTTGATCGGCTCGAGCTCGAAAAAAGCTCATTTAAAAAAGCTCGAGCTGACTTGTTGTTTTTTTAGATATACGTGTAATATTATTTTATTGAAAAATATGAGATTGAAATAATTTCAAAAATACATTTTTTTTTTTTTCAAAAGAAAGAGGCTCAAACATGGGCTAAATATGCTTAGAAGGACCCTCCATTCAACAGCTTAATTAATCTCTGTTTACATTGAACTTTGATTTGTTGAAAAGAGTATTATCTTCGAGAATCTTCCTAGCATTATAAGAAATTTGCTTTTTAACACTCTTGAGTGAAATTTTGTGCAATTTTTTTTATGTATTTATTAATATTTTTAATTATATTTTTATTTTATATAAATGGATTTTGGAGTTGGAGACTTTGAGTGGTCTATAATAATAAAGTAGGAAACACTTGAGAGCATTTGTGCTTTACGACTTTATGAAAGAAGAAAGACTATTCTTTCTTTACAATTTGTCAGTTAACCTTTTTGTTTGCTGCTAATTATTATGGCCCAATTCAAATGTCTTTTAATATAATTATTTGGCATCACCATGCCATGTCTGTGGGTTTGTTAGGTCAAATCGGTTAAATCACTCAATTCCAACTATGATTTTCCCTTTCAATCCATTAGTAGTGATAGTCTAGTCTTGATTATGATTTTGTTTTAACCATAATTACACTTAAATATTGTTAATTAAAGGTGATTGAGCCTTTTAATTGGTATCCAAATAAAATACACTTGATTTTCAATAATTGCCTAGGTTGCAATAAAAAAAATAAAAAAATTGCCTTTTAGCTTGCCTGCATAATGAAATAAATGTTGGGAATAATATCAAAATAAATATATAGACGCTATCTAAAGGCTTAAATCTTAT